TTCAGTCAATTTTTATACTTTATTTTTATTGCTGACATTATTATAGGTGCCCCATTTCCCCCCACCCTTTTGCCCACTTTCACCCAACCCCTACACCCTCTTCCCTCTGGCCACCACCACACTGTTGTCTGTGTCTATGGGTTATGCATATATGTTCAGCCCATTCTAACCTAGTGGGAGAGTTTTAACTGAAGCAGGTAGCCGGCTAAGGGATGGATGTGGAGTATGGACCAAAATGAGACACTAACAATGAGAAAGAAGGCATCACAGATCAAAAGCAAGATCCGCAAGAAGAAATGGCAGGGCTTAGAGACCAGATAGGTTCAATGCAGAAGAACATAGTTAAAACTGAAAATTCAGAGGATTTGTGGAGTTACGGACAGGAACAGGGTAGCTAAGATGAGGAAGTGGTTGAAGGGAGACAACATCCAAATCATGACATCTGAGTTCCTGGTACAGCCAGACTTTGTCGGTCTATGGTTTTAGTGAGATAACCCACACTATCCTAGCAAACAGTGAGAAATACATGAAAATAACTGAATTGGTCATTGTGTTGGCATTCAACAGAAGATGATAAAAAAAAACTAATTATACTTCCCAAACTCATTCTTTCTATTTCCCTTTTTCTTTTCTCTTCCCACTTAAAGTTCAGAGAGAATGTGGAGCAATGAATAGAGGTTCTAAATATATGGCCCCTAGGTCAACAACATCTGTATCATCTGGACACACTTTAGAAATGCAGACTCATGGGCCCAACCACAAAGTGAGGGGATCAGTAACTCTGAGGGTATGCCCAGCAGCCTGTACTTTAACAAGCTCTGTAGTCAACTAATGGCTGGTAAGGTGTGAGAACTGCTGGTGTGGAGTGTTCTTTATGTGTTGGCTCCATAGAAGGTGAAGAAATTCACCCTTTAGTGCTATGATTTCACACAGTAAGAATGACTCCCTTAGAAAAATTCATTTTCCCTAAATCTATTCATTCAAAAATTGTGTCGAATATGTGCTATCTTTCCAGGCAAGGTGAACACTGCTGTGAACAATTCTGATGCAGTCCATCACAAAAATATCTTCATGTTAGCCATTTAAAATTAGGCTATGGAATTGACTACTAGGCAACCTGATTATTGCTTGGGAAATCATAAAGGTGCCCCTAAAGAGATGACATTTAAATCAAGAAAGAATGACTAGGAGGTAGTCTGGTGAAGGGCAGGGGTGGAGGTGACATGCAGGCATCCTGGGCTCTCAAAGAGACAGGCCTGGCCACTGCCAGGGAACTCACGACAGACCAGCTTGAGGAGGTCATTGTTAATGACGGGCATTGAAGCTGGAGGGGCAGGTCTGCTAGACAGATCCTGCAGGGACTTCTGAATCATATTAAAGATTCTGAATTTGCCACTAAGGATAATTCAGAGGCTGTTAAGACAAACATAATCTAATTCACATTGTTCTACAGGTATATATTTTTTTTTAAATAAAAAAGGCAAAGCTTTTCCTACTACACAACTGTGGATGTAAATAGCATGATGATTTAAGTGTCCTGTAAGTTATAACTGGCTAAGAGAAACTTCGTCTAAACAAGGCTTCAATGAGGTGGGAAAGAGCATAGAGTGTCCACGTGGGGACTAAATGCTGGGAACCAAGGAGGAAGGGTTTAGAAGCTTCCGCCTTGTGGTTGTGGCTGACACTGGTCCTGCCTATGCATTTCTGAAGCAGCAGGCGCGCAAGTTCAAGGCAATTGCTGCTTCTCTTGTGGGTTATTTTTCTCCCCTTCACAGGAGCTCCTGGTGCTTAGGCTTGTCCATTCAAAGGGCTATTTTTCTGCAAATGATCTCTTTTAAATATTTCATTCACCTCCTTGGCCTCATTGTCACCTCCCTGAGAATCTATATGTCCTCTCTGACCATGATTATATTTTCATCTTTAATGTCTTTGCACTATTGCCCTGTGTTAATACATAGTGTTGGTCTGTATATAGTTCACTAATGCTTGAATACAGAGCCAGCCCCGATGGCTCTTCTGCGTCCCAGTGACATGTCTCCTATTGTCTGTGGGACGGCTGACACTTGAATATCACTGCAACAATAAATGGCCTGCCCGTAATTGAATTCACTGTGTCTTTCCCAAACCAACTTGCCTCTGACCTCTTCTGCCTCTGTCAGTAACATCAGCATTTATTGTCTTCCAGGTTCCAAGGTTTGGAGTCATTGCTGACTCCTTTGTCTTATGCTCTCACCAAGTCCAAGCATTAAGGTCATTTCTATTCACCTGGTGGAAACCAGTATGCCAATGTTTCCCCTTTCATTATCCTCTATAATCCTAGTCCTAGTTACCTCAAAGTAGGATACTTCTACTACATCACAACTCATTCTCCTAAAGGTAGTTTCCTTTCCCTGTACACCCTCAGGACCCTGTGACTACTCTGTATGTGCTGGTCTTCATCGAGCCTCTTCTATTTAACAAAAGCTCTTCTGTATTTTCTTTGGCAGGGGAATCTTCTTTTCTTCTTAAAGGAATATTACATAGAGCCCCACTATAAAACAGAGATAATCATGAAAATTCTCTGGTTAAAGTTGGGCTAAAGTAGTAAGTACAACACTCTTAACCTGTCCTCAACTTTCAAGGATGCCTCTTTGGCACCAAGAGGCTCATGGAGGCAGTTTGAAAACAAAGATGTACAGAATAGACATAAACCCCTTGGAAGGATGTGCACATTTTGTTCATAACATCTCTTTAATGAAAATTTAGTTGTAATCAATCTATGCAAGCCTCCTAACCTAGTCACACAAATTCACACAAAATTCTTAAGTGCACAGTGTCATTCCTGCACCCAGGCCTGGGCTCACGGTCTTTTCCCTGCCTTGAGTGCCTGGAATGCCATCCATACATCTCATCCAATCTAAATTCTACTTTTCTCAATCCCAATAATCCCCCTTCTTAAGAGGTTCTACCTCTTAGCAGCTCTTCTTTCTTCAAATTCCCACAGTATTCCTCTTCTTAAATGTATCCCGTACTGCTTTGAAATTTCACCTTTTTGGATGTGCATTTGATTTCTCCTAATAGATAATACGCCTCTTATAGGAAGAATCAAGTTCTTTTGTCACTTTTTATCCTTGGCATCCCATTCAATATGCAGTCCTTAGTATTTGCTTAGCGGGTATATTTTGATGATAATTCACAGCAAGAAATAATAACTATAGGCCCACTGATCTCATTTTCATTAATAGAAGTCTAAGTTAAATATCCAGTCTTTGAAAATGTTCCTCCAGAGCAATGCTTATAAGTTAGGAGAACCAGCCATTTGCAAGCATTACTTCTTTCTCCAATTACCATTAAGCCTACAAAAAGCTTCTTTGACTGTCTTTCATTCAATTATGTTAGAAGTAGATTTGGGAAAGGACAGCAGACGGCTGCAAGTGGGAGTTCTTATTCTAGACTAGAAATAGTGTTTTCTTCTATCCCCCAACATTCTAGCTAAGCCACACAAATCACATTCAAAAGAGTTCAAGAAACTTACACTAATATATCAATCAAGTGATGCCACTTCTCTTTAAATACCTTAGTACGGTTTGCAGGGCCCTCTCCACCTCTCGGGCCTCATCTCTACCACCCATCCCCCCACTCACCACACTGGCCACCACAGCCAGCTGTGGGCTCCCTGGATTGCTAAACTCTTTCCCTCATCCTGGCTTCATGTAGTGGCCCTCCTGCTGGACAGTCCCCTCCCCCACCCCCCCAACCCTGTTGCTTCTTTGATCAGTTCCTGTCGTCCTTTGAACCCCAGTCAGCTTGTCACTTCCTTAAAAGAGTTTTTCCTCTGATGTCCCAGAATAATAAAGCTTCCTTGTTTGTTATGTGTTCTCACATTCCTTATCACAATCGAAAATACATGTAACTATGAAAGAGTTCTGTGACTGTTAACCCCATCTGACCATGAGCTAAGATGTCAGAGATTATATCTCATATAAAATCTCATGCCTTGGTATATTTTCAAGCCTAGAATAAAACCTGACACATAATAGGTGCTTGAGTGAAAAAATGAATGGGCATTTTATGAATGACTCGCTTATAAAACTTTCAGAAAAACAAACCATTCTAATATTATCTACATCCAGAGTTTAATTCTCCTATTGCCCTGCCCTGAACACACATAGGCCTCATCCTCTGGGTTACATGATTCACATGAAACACACATATGTGTTTTATAAAGTAACAGCAACTTGCGTCTAAATAAGCCCACACAACAAAGCATTATGCAACAAAAACTTCACTTGCTCCCTGACAGAATCCAAGTTAAATATGCATTGTTTAAAATCATCTCATTTGTAAATAACAGCATGGACAGTCCTATGATTCTTTTTAATATTAAATTATTTTTAAAATGTGTACAGTTGGGTAAAAAGCACATGAAGGTAGTTTTATAGCTATGAAATGCCTGCATGTTGAGACCTTTTAATACATGATTATCACTAAAGTTAATGTGGTCTTCCCTGAAGGCTCCAGCAACCCCGCCGACATGTCCATGACCTGTATCTGTGTCCTTTCAGTTTTAAATTACCCTGCTGAGTCAAACAATTGGAGAACAAATTAGCACCAACTGCAGAGGAGACCTTTCTGGTACAAAATTCTGACCTTTAAAACCTTAAGCCTTGAATATTTTTCTGTCAGAGTGCTAACGGTTCACCAAATTTGCATTGAAGAGTCACTCACTCATATTTCCTTCAACAACCTTGTCTTCACTGGAATGAGTACAAGACTCGACTGATTTGTCAGCCCCTTTACTAGGATAAACCATTTTTCAATTTAAAAAAGGGGAGGAATACAATTCTATTGTTCTTCTCAGACCCACCTTTTCTCATTTTACCACCTTATATACAACCAGACAAATAACAGCATGAAAAAAAAATGTTATATTTTAAGGGTAGATGTCAAACACACATGCAACTCACAGCAGAAAGAAAAAACATTTACACGGCATCGAGAGTTTCTCCAGGGTAACTGACCTGCATACTTTTAAATGTTCAGACCCGTCACGGTAGGTGGCAGGAGGTTTATGAGGACAGCCATTCACCTGGAAACCTGCGTCATCCGCATACTTGCTGCCTTCTGTTCCTGCTAATATTTCAGTGGTGGAATCTGTTTCTGAAAATCTTTTGTTGATTGGGTCATTTAGCCTAAGACTATGCAAGAGCTGTGGGTCCCTGTGGTGGTGTCTGCCTTTGCTTTCTTCATGGTTCCTTGAGGATCTCTTAATCTTGAAGGATCCCCTAGGCAGGGAAAGACTGTGCTCTTGGTACCATGTGCCTTTCCCCCTGCAGAGATTTAAAGGGCCACTCTCACATTCAGTCAGCTCTTGTTGCTTTTTACCTTTGGAGCCCAAATTTACCAGATAAATTCCATTAGGAGCAGAAGCCGCATCCAAGTTTCCACATGATTTATTATTATTTCTCCTTCTTCGTGACAGTCGGAATTTCTCTTGGGCTCTTCTTTTTGCCTGGATCCAATGACTCTCATCTATGGAAGATGAATCTGAAGAATCTGTGTAAAGCTCACTCCATCTGGGGCTTGAGATCTGGAGGTGCAAATCATTTCTTTTCCCTCTTATTTGTTCTTCTGCATGCTCATATCTCTCAGAGGCCCTTTTCCTCCTCCTGGGCCTCTGTTTTACTGATTTCTTACCAGACTCCTTCCTAGCAGGGCTCAGCACCATGACAGGGGTGCATTGTTCAAATGCATCTTCTGACATGTCATGCAAGATGGCAGATCTAGACAAAGCAGCAGACAAAGGATGGGAAATGGGAATAGAGAGGAAAGCCATGGGAAAACAGAGAGAGAATGATGAAAATGATAGCATGGACCAGAAGTTGGTAAACAAAGATCAAATGAAGAAAATGTACTAAAGGAAAAAACAAAACTTAAGCCTGAATAAATTGTTAATGGACAACATAAGGCAGAAGCAAGAGCCACACAGTCTCAGAATGTAAAACAAGAATATAATACATTAGCCTAAAAATACTGAGTAGAATCAGTTGCTGAGCACTTACCTGCAGATGTCCTGAGTGGATGGACAGACAGACAACCTTGACTGGCTCCTGGGAGCTGTCCCTGTGGTTGGGCTGCTTGCCTGGAGAAACAAGTTAGATAATTTGGCATCTTGGTTAAGGTAATACATGGTCGATATCTTTCTTTTTTTCCACATATTTAAAAAATTACAACAAACGTGGCTGGCAGTCATGTTGATTTTAACACACACAGCTCACAGAATGTAGGAAGTTAGAGGTCCGTTTTGCAAAAGTAAAACTTATTTGAGGAACTTGAAACAGCTGAGATGGTGAACCACTTAGCTCTTGCTTCATTTGTGAGAGAGGAAGATGATTATACAAATTCTATCCTTACTGTGACTATTTGAGTGGGATGGCTCATTGTCCTTGAAAATAAATGGATCACACTCAAATATCCTATCATGTAAAGGACATAAAGGCCACTAAATGACAAGGATAATAATGATCTAGGACCTAAATAATCAAATAGCCATTAGATTGCTAGCATTGCCTGGAGTTAACACTAGGTCACAACATGGACCCATGAGATAATATATTTGAAAATACTCTGTAATAGTTAAAAGTCTGCAGTCATTACTACTTTATCATTGAAACTAATAAAATCTATCCATCACAGCATTATGGGCCTTTCATATCTATTAACCCTGTGATCATACTGAGCCCCAAATTAAGAGAACCAGAAATACTTCAGATTCTTGGCACAAAGTTGAGTACATTTCACCAAAACTCCTATCTTCCTTCAATTTGACTTTAATCTGTTGTATTTAGAACACAGATGATGATAAAGCAAAAGCTAGAGAGTTTTGAAAATTTACTGTGTCCTTCATTGTGCATTATCTACTGTCTCTTTAATTCTCCTAGTAATCTCACAAGTGAAAAGGGATAATAACAGCTTTGACTGATTATGTGCCAATCACTCTTTCAAGTAATTTTTATATGTTCACTTATTAATAATCACAAGAAACATATGTGGCAAATACTGTAATTATCTCCATGTTCCAGATGAGGGAACTGAGTGATTGGTGCTTTTTCTTACTTGTAGGTGTTACAGCAGAGGATTGGATGAGATCTCCTGTCTCTGTGTCTGTTCTCTTGTCCCCCTAGCAACACACCTCTCTTTCACACAGGAAAAGAAGGAGCTCCTAGGTCCAGACTCAGGCCATTCAGAATAAGCCCAGTTATCCCAAACATCAAAGTAGTTCTAAAAATGTCCATATTTGGGATATTGTGGGATGCAGAGAAAAAGAAATTAATAACTCAAGAGGTCAAAAAAACTTTCAAGAGAAGGCATAGTAGACTGAATAATATTCCACCTCACCTCCCAAGATGTTAACATTCCAATCCCTGGAATTTGTGAATACATTTCCTTATACAACAGAAAATACTTTGCAAATATAAGTAAGTTAAAGATCTGGAGATGGGAAAATGATCCTGGATTATCTTACAGGGTCCAATGTAATCGAGAGGAACCTTATAAGGTGGAGGCAGAAGTGTTACAATCAGAGGAGACATAGTAAGGAAGGATAAGAGCAAAGGTAAGAGAGAAGGGAAGATGCTACCTTTCTGTTTGTAAAGATGGAGGGAGGGCTCCCTGAGCCAAAGACTGCAGGTGGCTTTTAGAATCTGGAAAAGGCTAGAATTAAGACTGAAATCTATTTGACCAGCTGACTGATATAAAATTAACCCTAGCTGGTGTAACCTTTGATTCATTTGTTCAGCAAACATGAATTAAGGGTGGATTATATAATAGATACAATGATGAGATCTGGGAATAAAGAAAGAGACAGCATCTCGAAGGGGCTTCTTGTTTAGCAGAGAAGAGATGTAAGTGAATAGGCAACTTTAGTATATCCCCAAAGAGTCTAGGAATGGGGTTGTGATGAAGGAAGGATACCTAATGCAGAATGGAGCAGAGATTTAAAGTATCTCAGAGGAAATGACACCTGACCTCAAAAGGGTGAGTGTGAGAAAAGCGAGGGAGGGCAGCCCAGACAGGGAGAAGGTTGTACAAGAGCACAGAGTAGAGAGAACATGGCCTTTTTGGGGACACAAAAAGGTTTGCAATGACTGGAGGGAAGGTAGTGAATGAGATATGAAGTACCAGTAATACAAAGTCCAGACGAATGAGTAGACAGGGGTCCTGTATGCCACATTGAAATGTTTGGGCTGTATCCTCAAATAAACAGAAAGTCATTGACAGATATTCAGCAGTAAATGGAAATCATGAAGTCTGGGGCCCAGAAAGCTCACCTTGGTGACTGAACCAAGGTGACTGGGAGGTACAGAACTGACTGCAGCAGGGAGAAGAATTAGGATTAAATATATTTAGTGTACAGCGGGGACTGAGAAAAGGGGTCATTTAAGCAATATAGCCCCAACTGGTTGTTTTATTTTTAAATAGGACTAAAATCATTTGAAAGATCATCTGAAAAAGGTAATATGGGGAAACATCTAGGGAAATTCTTTAATAAAAGCTAAGTGGGATCACTTTTATCAGATATAAAGCAGCATGACTCTTCAGAAATCAGAAGATTATGTGGGTGGCAAAGGAAAGGATGCATTAGAATAGCAATTCATCTATCTATCTATCTATCTATCTATACCTTATTACATAGTAAACGCAGTTCAAATCAGTGGGAAAAGGCTAGGTATTTAAATAAATAGCAAGAGAAAAAATGACTAGTCATTTACAAAATGTAAAGCTGGATGCTGTCCTACTGCCTACCATGAAATTTAGGTGGATGAATGACTTAACTATAGCAAAATAAAACCATAAAAGTGTGTGAGGAACACATAACTGAATATGTTTGTAATATTTTGGAAGGGAATTTCTTCCTCAGGAGAACAAGAAACAAAAAAATCAACACAGCAACAGACTATTTGGCATGATATTTAGAAAAATAACTTTTAATTTAGAGAAAAATAAACACATATATTCACACACCAACACTAGCCCAGAAAAAATTTGAAGACATAAATAATGTCATAGTCATAACATCTATGATAGCCAAACAGCTGCTTTCTCTAGTATTCCGAGATCTTTTTACAAATCAAGGGGGAAAAGTTGATTGATATTCGAGAGCAATGAGTAAGACACACAGACAGTTCACACAGAGGAAATTACATGTGGCCAAAAACTACATGTAAAAAAGATGCTCAATTTCAGTAAGCAAACAAATGTGGATTCAGTTAACAATGGTCTTTACGTTCACTTATCAGATCAGCACGTTTAAAAAAGATTGCTAACACCCGGGGTACCGAGGTGGGGAAACCAAGCATTGCCACATATTGGTGAAGTGTGTAATTATAAATTGGCACTTGCTGGAGGGCAGTTTGGGAAACGTTGTTAAAACAGAGAAAGTCTGTTATTCAAGTCAAAAATTCTAATCACAGGAATTGGTTTTGCTAAAACACTTGCACAATTGCCCAAAGATGTTTTCATTATAACAAGAATGTTCATAATAGCATTGCTTGTAACAGCAAGAAATTGGAAACAACCCAAATGTTCAGTTATTTACAGTGAAATACAAAAGCCATCAGAAGGAAGGAGACACACCTCACACCGCACACACAGTCATACACACACATTTGTAGGAGGAATTTTTATGTGAAAAGTCAAGTGTCAAAATTATATATAGTATGACCTCATGTGGTTAAATAATGCTTACATTGTATATGTTATCATATGAATAGGACACATTTGGAGAAGTATCTATCCAAACATTAGCAGTAATTATCTTTTTGAGGCAGAATTATAAGAAACCTTTAGTTTTCAGGTTATAGATTTCTATAATATTTAAAATCTTCAATTTTAATAAAAGGAAAAAGTTTTAATCATATTAATGATGATGTTATAAGTGACAACAAGAATCAAGATTTGTTTTCTTGCCATAAATGATACAGTCATTCCTCCTTTACCCTCTTTGACCTCCACTTCCCCTCTTCAATTAAATGTAGTCAAAATGACACCCACAGAAAAGAATTGTTGGAAGGATAATATAATATCATTGATTAGGTAAGTGCTTTGTAGCATGTCCAAGGGCTGTAATAGGACATTAACCTTGGATTATGAGAATTCTTTTTATTTATTCCCAACGAATCACGTTTTCTCCCAACAAATGGACTCAATGGTATCCCCTCATTCAAAAAGGAGACACATAACAGCCTTAAGTCAATGATTCTCAACCCTGGCTAAAAACTGGAATCACTGAGAAGATTTTTTTTTTAATTACCTCTTCCTGGGTCTGTTTTAGAATCTCTGAGGAAGGGGACCCAGGACACAGAACCTGATCATCAGTATTCTTAAAATTCGCCCCAGTGACCGACTCAATATATCCAAAATTAAGAACTTAAATTATTGGCTTATATCAAAGGGGATATTATCCTACTTCAAATTTTATATTAGTTTTTGTTTCCCTGAGATTCTTGATAATATTCTTGAAAGCCTTGATTTTTTTTGATAGACAAAAGTGTTTTCTAAATTCCCAAATCTCACTTTTATACATCTAGATGAGTTCTTGGGCTTCTGGTCATAGTTTTTATAACCTATAGCAGAGGGAGGCGAAGGGTATGACTTACTCTCTGCTTACTGTTTGCTGCTAAAGGGCAGGACAGTAGAGAAGGGAGGGAAGAGCAAAAGAAGAAATTCCAGTGTCTTCTCTCCCCATTTACCCACCTGGGTTGAGCATGGTTTGGGGAGTGGATGTGGGGAGCAGGGCAGGGTACTTGGAAAACTCACCAAGACATGCTTGGGAACAAACCAAGAACATGATGCTCATTCTTTCCTTCCCTGGAAAGACTATGTCTTTAAGATCAGCTTCCCAGTGAGCAAGGGCAGTGCCTAAATTGATGCCTGCATGGGAGGATAGAAGTAACGGTGGCAGACAGATCTGAGCCAGTTCTCCCATTCCCTTAGCCTGGGGTGGGGAGAGAGAATCCAGTTGACTTCTTGTGCTCTTGTGGGAAAGATAACTGAGACTGCTAGTCTGGGGAGGCAAGCAAGGGCCACCAGAGTTCAAATAAATGTGACTCTGTAACAGAGGGCCACAGAAATGACTACCTA